TTAGGCAATGACAAAATATATTGAAGTGCTTGCTGTAGTTTTAAGTATTTTTAAAAGATGTTTTTTATTCATAGTGAAAATTAGATGAGATTATTTTCTCTGGCCTCCAAATGAGGCTACAGTTACATTTATAAAACAAAGATGATATAATGAATGTTCCCCAAATGCTCTTTCCTTTCTGAATGGCAATGAAATATCCTACCGTGACTGATGGACTAAGAGATACTGAGTTTTCATGAACTACTATTTATGTCATTTTAACAATTTTGTCACCCTTGTAATTCTATTATTCCTTCGGTTAATTAAAAAAATGCTAATTATAAGAATACTATGGTCTGACTTAAAATTTTTGATTCACTGGCTGAACACTCAAAAACAACAGAAGAAAGCATGTTTGACTTTTGATTAGCATGATTTTTCATTTCTCCAGAGGTAATGGGATCATTGAATTATTCCAGGCTATGTCTTAATTGCGACCAGTCAGCTTACATCCCAAGCCTACTCACTGAAGGCACTCAGGATGTCTTCTGACTGAGTACTCTTTGTGCTGTGCTTAGTCTTCAGCTCCCAGAAATGAACATTTTCTGGTTGATATGATCTTTAAATATTTCAGAGATAGATTTTAAGTTGTCTATTCTGTTTCTCTACTGGTATGACTACTAATTGTTCATTTAATATTTTCAAGACCTAATATTTCTACTGTATATTTCAATAGCTTGAAAGTTATGTTCATTTAAAGTGTTTGCATACAACTTGGGATGCAAAATGACATTTTCTCTTCCAAACAAATAAAACTAGCTATGCATGATATAGCAAGTTGAGGAGATGTCAGGGAACTGCTAACGTAACATTTGATTTGCTAATCATCCACAAAGGAACAAATTCAAGTGAATGGATTCCAAAAATATATTTAAAAATAGAAGTTTTCTAGAGTCCTTGGGAAGAGCAGGGGAACTCCCTCAGACAGACAAAGAGATACAGTCAAGTACCATTGTGTACCTATTGAGTTTGCAAAAGTAGAGAAAAGACATAAAAAGTATTAATCACACCATAAAATTCTTGAAAAACCTGCAAAAGCCAGAACCTGTGTAAGGTGGAAACCTGTTGGAGAAGGGAAACAAATATTTTACCACTAAAATGATTGAGTTTTCTCCACCATAACAAAGGTGGAACTTTTGCTTTGCAAATCCTAGAAGAGCAGGGAGTCCTATTGTATTCCTGGCTCTCCCATTAAATGGAGTAGCATTAGAAATTCGCACTGGTCTTCATCAGAATATAACGCGTGTACAGGGCACTGCTGTAGACATAGGCCTCCCTAAGCAAAGTATAGGGACTATTCAGAGATTGCTAGTCAAAAGACACATCGGGCGAATTTGGTTGAACTAATGTGAACAGGGTTCTTCTATACTGATCCAAAGCAGGGCTTAGTTACAGAGGCATTGCTTTTCTGATACTGAACTGTTACAAGATCAAGAACACGATGGCCTCATGCTTTAACACTGAAACCATTCCCTGGACAGCACTTCAGTTGTATAATCTGCACATTGCAGTAATAATTTTATACACAGCTTGGGGTATCCTGATTGATTAGCATAAAAGCATATCTCCTGAAGCTCATGCAAACTAAAAACAAAGCAAAACAAGACAAAGATAAGTTCCCCCAAATTTCCCATTAAAATTGTGTCAATTCTGACTTGTACAGACCTTAAGCAGTGGTTTTCAACCTTCCTAACGCCGTGACC